ATCATAAAGCAGTAATTATTCCGTTTTATAACACATCATCCTTGAACAGGAAGGGAAGGGATCGAAAGTCTAGCATGCCATGGCGTGTTGACCGACATAAAACAAAAGTGCATGTAACTGTCATATTGCGTGTCAAGGAGCTGAATGAGACCATCAAATGTGAAGGAGCTGTATAATTCTGAACGGTTTTTAAACGCCATAATGACAATCGTCAGGAAAACTCAAAAAGGGGCACTTTGATACTATTGAACATTGGACCTATAATTGCTGCATTCATACCGCTTGATTCTATTAATAATGGATGACAGTCTTCGATATCGACCATAAACAACTATTACGGGGACGAGTTGGACCTTGGTATTGAAAAAATTTTATGTGAAGTAACAGGTTCATTTTTTCTTTGTTCCAGAGAGTAATAGCAGTGATTATATGAACTGCTAAGTTGCTCAGACGTTATGTAGCTGAAGTTAAATAACTGTACAACAAGAAATATTGGTAACAGCTATGTTGCACTATCGGAATCAAGGGGTAAAATAGATTGGACACCACACAGGCCGTTACTACAGATAATATTACCTTAATCACATCATCGTTGATCGACTTAGTTACGGTAGTAACAACACTTTAGAATACACGTAGAAAGTGTAATTATTTTCATTAATTTAAGAGGAACCGAGGTAGGTACTCCAAATGCCTCCGTATAGACGACAAAAAACTGATAAACATGCGAATGTGGCTCCGCTCAAACTGGTTAGGGCAACCTTAGCTGCCAAGAAAGTGTTCTACACAGAAGCATTACGGAAAACACTAGTCTCTCACTAGTGCTACCACGCTATTCCTTGCTCTCAAGTTTTGCGAGCTTTGATTATAATATGCCATTTGTAAATGCATTTAGCAATAATAAAACTGTTGGTTAAATTAAAGGTCACTTACGATCCAAAGCTAAAGTCACAGTTGATGGAGTACAAAAAATTTAGGCTTCATTGTCCATTTGTTTGTTAATCTCTTGTTATCATAAAATGCTACCTGCGTTTATGCAGCTGTCCTAACAAGAGGCAAGTAAAGGTGTGAAACCCTGCCAGTTCGAAGTTTTCAAGGGGACCAGAAAGGAGAAATCGGTGGACATCGTATCCAATGACTTTTTAAAATCGTTGTTCTGCAATAGCCAAAATTACTAGCGAGTTTAATAACCAATTACAGTCACAGTTTTCTCTTTGGGAATAGGTGCTGTTGCTATGCTATTTGCAATTGCATAAGGTCGAACAAAGCGACTTATCAATATCAAACTATACCAACCTACAACTTTTTAATACTCAACACATGCATATAAACGCCTCTATAGAAAACGATAAGTTCATGTAGAGTAGCGTGATACATGCATGCATGGTTGTACGTTTATCGAAATATGACGCAAATTGGGTTACGCTTTATCAAAGTCTAAGTCGCGTGTGAAAATTTCGGTGCATGCATGTAAATAGCTCTCTCTATATAAACATCGATCAGCTCATTGGCAACGCAGCCAAACATCCGAGCGGCGCGATGTTGCCATCGCAAGAATTTGGAAGTACTCTATTATATTTGATTATGGTCAAACACTATAAAGTTACCAGTAGAAGAGCAACTCGCGAAAAAGCCGTTGATCTTCTGGACTCTAGAGATGCCGACATCTAAGAACTTGGATCAGCACACCATTTCCCTCGTTTATTTTGCATCCCGGCACGCAACACCAACTTGTCATAGTGAATTGCCCTGTACACATCCAATAGCCACGCGACCCACTTCCGAGGGAATCGGATGCCGGTCACCCACCAACAGGAAGTATCTTTGCGTCTGCTCAGAAAAATATTTTGATTGTTTTTTCGCATAATCTCATTCAAAAGAGGAACCTTTTAATGAATCTGCATGTTAGGTAAAAAACCTAATCAGAATATTTAGCCGAACAGATACAAAAATAGTTCCTGGACTATTGCCGCAGGTAATGAATGGATGATCGCATCCAAATGGCAGGTAGCATTGCAGTCACCAAAGGTACCACCCCTGCAGAATCTGCTTTTTTGATGGAGTAGCTGGTAACTCTGTATTCTTTGATTATGGTTTAGACAGGGTTAGAATATGTATGACAGTATCTTCAGTTTTATTGCAGTTCGTGAGCTATTTCAACTGGTCTTTGTAGTTTCCCATTTCCCGCCATTAGCGAGATTATGCTTCAATTTGCTTTGATTCCTTTGAGGCTGTTCGGAATCCGGACAATCGTTACACAAATGAATCAACGACATAGATTGATAGAAAATACCACGTATGACAAAATGAATTAATTGCTTCCTAGTGTCAGTGATATCGAGCATCAATCAGTCTCGTAAAAACATGCATATAACTATAGGATTTTCAAACAATTTTTGTTAGGATAGGAAATGAAGATATAAAAAAATATTGGTGACATCAAAGTCAGCCAGTCAGCAAGTAGAGTTGCATATTGTATGGCTAAACGTTTCTTGGCGGATGGATGAGATTTTAAACCAAGAAGTAACTAGATTGATTCAAAGGTCAGAAAAAACATAATAGGGCAATGTGATTGAAACCTCAACTATGAGTGCGAAGCGTGAGCTTACAAGAGGCAGCAACTCTTTGGGAAACCTTATATAGTAAAGGTCACAGACTCACTAATAGGGGATCAATCGGATGTACGATGAAACCACTTTAACCAAAGAGTGATACACCTTACCTTTACCATAATGCTTAACTAACCTTATTTCGTTAACCTTACCCAAAATGTTCACGCTATTTGATAGATATTGGACAGAGTGAAAATACTATGGTGTCTGTATACTGTATCTAGAGGTTATTTTGTCGAAGATAGTCGTTATCCCAGAGTCATGATTTATACACATGTATTTTAGGGCCATTGGCTGCGTGTTTTGTAATGGAGTTTTAGATATTCGTTGAAATTAACTTTTCTGTCACTGAAGAATGGCAATCGAGTATGATAAAATATTTATGAATATTGACGGATAAGGACATCAAAAGATAAGATGTTCAAGGCTGTTTGTCATATTTCTGAATTAGCTGATGGGCTGCAGTCCTTTCGTGAATATAGCGGGATATCGGAAACGCTAAGAGATACGAAGTCGCTTGAATGGGGGCAATTTTGCGTATTCAGTAACTAATAGGCTGCCGCTTAGAAAGTTTCAAAATTCAAAGTACTTGGGGAGAGACGGAAAAACCAAAATTTCCAAAAATCGTTTTGATTTTTGCCTGACTTTATTTGTAGTGGGATTTCAAAATCATTTGCACATTAGCATTGCCACTTTTTCTCCTCTACAAGATGGCATAATCGGAATTTCAATATGACGTTTTGTGGATGAAATAAAGTGGCACTAACAACATGCAATTTATTTTGAAGTCGCATCTCAAAAAACTCAAGAAAAAAATGATTGGGATTGGATCTGGTGTAACAAATGGCACAAAAAGAGGCAAAAGAGAAAGACAATACCCTAGTGTAAATAACCTGAGATAATAGGGAGTTATTAAACCACTGCCATCCACTATTAATTCCGACCTTACACTAATAATGACAATTGCTTCTCAATTAGAGTTATTGAGTGGTTATTGCTGTATTGGTCTTAGGTGCATTTCCTTGCACGGATGACATAATTTCTAACCTAAAAACATTGGGATAAAATAAACTTTTATCTTGTTTAAAAATGCACAAAGACTTATTTGATTCCATAATCGTATTGATTATAGAGTTTTGCTATTGTTTTTATACCTCTTTTGCAAACTCGTTGTAGGCAAATATCAGTCTTTTTTGTTTGAATTTTACAGCCAAAGGGTCCATGATTTTCACAAATTAAACTTACAATCAGCGAACAGTACAAATCATTTTCGTATATATTTCTTTTAACTGCGAAAACTACTATACAGTAAGGCTATTCACACAAAAAATAGTCTTGGCTGTGCCAGGATTCTAAGTGTCCTGTAATAGTGGCAGGTACTAACTTTATTAATTCCATGACTTATTCTTGTTTTACTGCGCCTGGTCAGATGTCAAATACGGCCAGGAATTATGATTGGGCGTATATAACTTCCCAATACTCAGGATGACGGAGGAATTGATATTCAAAGCCAACAACTTTACCTACGGATTAGATTACTTTCAATAGGCGAGCATCTTTTAGTATTATTACTTACGCCCCAAAGGACTGTCCCGAATTCCAAGCCTAACAAAGAGTGTGCGTAAACGTATCAAAATATATAGTATGAATTTGACTATATGTATTACTGTCCACCACACGGTTTAACATTTTTTTCACAAAGATTAAAAATGGAATATCGCCGTTTCTAACACTGGAGCCTCAAATGAAGCAATAAACAAATGTAATCAGCCATATATCATTTGCAAACAAGAATTCAATCATCCAAATTCCATCAAGGGTCTTCCAAGTTTCCTGGCATAGGGAGATGGTCCAGTCAGTCCGGCATCGTCGCGCAATGAGGGATAACCAATGCCGCTCGTGGCGTCGCCCGTCGCGGCGCCAATTTCCAGCATTGCTTCCACACAAGTTTTTTGCGACAAGCAGCAAAAAAAAGCAAAAGCAACAGCGTTACGCAACAACGTGTGAATGATGTCTTACCTGAGCTGAAGTGCGATCGTTTCTTGTCACCGTCATTATCATTGTCGCCGTCCAAAGGTCTCTTTCTACTATCTGCGTTCTCCGGAGACGGGCAAGTGTCCATTCCCGTGTCTGCGGCCATTTTTGCGTATCTGATTAGAAGTTCACTCGCGGATAAGAAGACGAAACGCTGACTGAAACCTCACCGTCGGACTTCACGAAACCTGCCGTCCAAAACCGAATGTGAATCTGCAGCGTGTGCGCAGTTAACGCGATCGAAATGCACTCTACCGTGTTCGGCGTGCGACTGTTCGCGATCGCGACTGTTTTGTTGAAGCGTCTCTCCGCTCCGGTGACCTTGGCGACTACGATCGGGACGGACACGGACGCTCAGCTCTCAGCTCCTCCCTCGAACTCCGGCCTATGTTGCTCTCTTTCTAGCGCTAGGCTCTGCCTCCAGCTGACATTCGTGCTGTGCGTACAGGGCCTGGAATATAGGGCATAGTTAAGCTGTTGGCATGCTACCCCGGTAACCTAGAGTCTGATGTAGATAAAGCGCGGCACCCACAAGCACCTTAATTTCAATTAAAGAGCCAGCGCCGGCCCGAGTAAGCTGGACGCCTGAGGCGAATGGCTTGAATGATAGGGATAGTGGACCTGGGGGTCTTGGAGATGAGTTTCCGCCTACGCAAAAGACTTTGCTTTGTGGAAACTATACCCTATTCGTAGTCCATTCACGCCCCGGCACAACAAAGATGCAGCGCGGCAAAGCGGAAGTTGCTGTTCATATTTAGTTCGTACATAGCGTGTGTTTATACGTTAGCATGTCGTCTACGGATACAGCAGATGAAACTGAGAATGCTTCCTTCAGCCATTCTTCCTCTTCAGTGATGTCTCCTCCCCGACAACGTGATAAGAAAGGACATTTGAATATTTAGGCAAAAGAAATTGTCCTTAACGTTTGTAAGAGCGAAATTTTAGAGCATCCTGAAATGCAAATTCATGATATTGAAAGACATGAGGCCAAAAAAATAGGCTAATGTAATAAGACAATTTTCAACATTGGTAAAGAATATAAAAAAAATTGTCTCCACCACACAAGAGGCTGCATTACCCAAAGCTGTTGGATACAGTTGATAACTTTGATCGGAATGCCATCAGACGCTAAGTACTTCAATTTTTTCTAAGGAGGGAACTTCCCACCATAGAGAAAGTATTACAGGAGGTTAATAGTGATGAATGCCTACTTACTGTCAAAAGGACCAGATTCTATGGTTTACTCAAGGAACTTCATTTTAAGTATAGAAAACGGAACAGAAATAGTATTTTGATGGACAGCCAAGAGATTAATTATACTAAGTGACATATAAATCCGAACACCCAGTTTAAATGGTTTTATTTTAATAAAAGTTGGTGAATGTATTTATCTTACTGTAAATAACAAGTGAAAAAATGTTCAGCCTTATCAGTTGGACATTCCGGTTTTTATACTGCTTTTTTTTAATTCACTAACGCTCTAAAAATGAATATTTCAGCCGCAGTAAAGAATCAACGTTGGCGTATTTTGGTTCTTGACATCCTTTACGATCGGTTACGATGCCTAGAGTACGGAGACCTGTACGATTTCGTCAACTTAGTGAGTTTGATAGGAGCCGTATAGTGGGACTTCGAGAAGCTGGACTTTCTTTTCGGGCAATTGCAGTTAGAGTGCAAAGAAGTATAGACACTGTGGTTAGGTGTTGTCAGGCATGGCTTCGAGAAGGCCGTACGCAAAGAGCAAGGGGCACTGGACGCCGCCGTAGAATAACAGACCGTGAAGATCGCCGTCTAAGATTATTTGCCCTAAGGGACCGTTTCTCCACTACCAGGTCCATTGCAAATGAATGGTTTGCAGAACACGGAAGACCTATTGGCATGCGAAGTGTTTACCGACGAATGAGAAGTTTTGGCTTGTTTTCATACCGGCCACACTGTGTCCTCCCTTTAACTCGAGAACACCGACGTAATCGCCTTGAGTGGTGCAGACAACGGTCACTCTGGGATCAGGAATGGAATAGTATTGTCTTTAGTGACGAGTCTCGATTTTGTTTAGGCATGCACGATGGTCGTGCCAGGGTTAGAAGGCGACGTGGTGAAAGGAGGAATCCACAGTTTTTTGTTGAAAGACATGTTCATCACACTGTTGGAGTTATGGTTTGGGGTGCTATAGCTTATGGTTCCAGGTCACCTTTAATCTTCATCAGAGGTAACATGAACGCGCAGCGTTATATCCACGAAGTTCTAGAACCCCATCTTTTACCCTATCTTGACACCCTGGCAGATCCAACTTTCCAACAAGATAATGCCCGACCACATGTTGCAAGAGTCACAATAGACTTCTTTCAACATAATGATGTCACATTGTTACCATGGCCACCAAGATCTCCCGACTTATCCCCAATTGAGCACGTGTGGGATATGATGGGTAGGAGATTGCTCAATTTGCAACGTCCTCCGCAGACTCTAGAAGCACTTCGAGAGGAGTTGGTGGTTGCCTGAAATGAGATACCACAGGACGACATTGACCACCTGATCAGAAGCATGCCTAGGCGCGTTGGAGAATGCGTAGCACATCAGGGTGCACCCACACATTATTAAAGGTCAAAGGGCTTTAAAGCAGTGCAATCATTTTGAAGTTTTTATCATTTACTTATTATGCTTCATTAAGTACTTATACAAAATTTTATTAAAATAAAACCATTTAAACTGGGTGTTCGGATTTATATGTCGCTTAGTATATTTTATGGAGAAGAAATTATTTAAAATCAATAAAGAAATACCGCGACCAGGACAGGAAGATTTATTACTGGGATGGAACCTCGATAAATGCAGGACATACAAAACCTTAAGTACAGGGTAACTTTGAAGTTGAGTCATTAATTTTCAGATAATGATTGTAGAAGGAAGATAAACCAAAATATGTGTGTAAAAATAAAAAAAAATAAAAATGTTTACCTTGTTTTATAAAGTATCCTCCCGACAAGTATTTCAGTGCGGACCTGTATTTGATCGTGAGGTCTTGGAGCACCGGCATGCCCTCCCCTGTGAGGTCTTAAGTCACCTGATTCACGAGCCCGTTGTACTACATTAACAAAGGCACGAGGGGTTGGTTGCACTCGATTGGGTAACCGATCCACATAAATATGTGCCATTTTTTATTTCGTTTGAGCCACGCAGCAAACACCACTATTCACTCACGCGTTACCGACTGACACATTGACTGAATAAAAACATCGTAATCAGCGTTTCAAATTCTTTCGCTTTTTTGTTTCCGATGCGATGAACCGATAAGGCGGAGTATATCCGTTGTTGCCAAACACGAGCACATAATATTATTATTGAGACAGGGCGGTACTCAAACTTCCAAAGGGCTATAACTTTGTTACTTTAATTTTACCAGAGAAATGTTAAAGGAAAAAAACATTTCTTTTGATCAGATCTACTCACTGTTAAAATAAATGACTCAACTTCGAAGTCACCCTGTATAGGCTGACTCTACAATTAAATCAGCAAGACAAGCCTTCTTAGATGGACTAACCACTGGCCTAAGGAATCCATCAGGTACGTGTATCTAACCAATTCGTGAATTGCACATGCTGAAAACTTTGGTACACTAAACTATATCTGGTAGATTTTAAACCAACACCTGTTAGATACTCTACTTGTATTATTATTAGTTTTCTTGAATACTATATGAAATAATTATTTCCAGGAAAAGGAAAACGATTTGTTATCTGTGACATTGGTAGTGAAGATGGCTTGATGCCCATTGCATTTGAGTCAAAGAAAACGACCGACTACCATGAAGAAATGGACGGGAGTTCATTTGAACGATGGTTTGAAGAAACGCTCCCAAAGCTTGATGATAATGCCGCCATTGTACTTGATAATGCTGCATATCACACTAGAAAAAATTCCCACAATGTCCACAGGAAATGCAAAAATTCAACAATGGCTAATATCAAAAGACATAAGTTTCAGTGAAAATATGGTCAAAGCAGAACTTATCCATCTAGTCAGGCAGCACAAATATAAATATAATCTTTATGTTATTGAAGAAATGGCCAAAAATCAAAATAAGACCGTTTTAAGGCAACCCCCTTATCACTGAGAATTAAATCCCATTGAAATTATTGTGGCTTCCAAAAATAGAATATTTAAAATTTCTGACGTGAAAAATTTGGTTTATGAAGCTGTCAACAGAGTGACGGCAAACCATTGGAAAGATTGCATCCATCAGGTTCAAGAGACCATCGAAAGAGAGATGAGGGAGCTAGACAATATGATCCATATTCAAATTGAACCTGTAATAATTAATATTAACCATTCGGACGATGATAAAAGTACTTCCAGCGAATACAGAATTATGAGAAGTATGTGCACTTCTTTCTATAAAAACAATCATTTATTTTGATAGATTATTCCAGCACCATTGAGGAAAATACGGACCTGTACAATCTCGCATTTGGGGATGTTGTGTTTTGTCTGGGCGTAAATAGACTACGAATGGGGTTTAGTAAAGAGGTGAAGAAAAGCGTTACGGGATAGCGCACAGCGGAAAGCGGTAAGGTATAGGCATCGAAGAGGATTTTACTGTGGTATTATGAGCATGCATATCAGCATCTCATGGCTTCTCCCCAACTTACATACAGCGGGAGAGTGGCGCGGCAATATTCCGGTAGGAATGTTTCCTCCTCGTTTTACCGAGGGCATGCTGTGGGATACCGCCGTGTGTCGTTGCTTAATTGAACCTGCCGTAGGAGCGAGTGATTTTTCTCATCAGGTCATCGGTTCGATTCATGCGATTCTCCCCTGCAGCTCTTCCCTAAAATTTCGGCCTAGGTTGCTCTCCTGGCGCTAGGTGCTGCCTTTAGCTTGCATTCGTGTCTGCTGTACGAACAGGGTTCAGAATATGGGTCAGAGTTAGACTGGTATTGTCACCCAGTAACCGAGTCTGCTGGAAATAAAGCGAAGCACCCACCAACTGCCTGTCCTCATCGGCGCCCGCAAGAATGTTTCACAGAAGGGCAATCATTAGCAAGGGATAACTTTTTGTGAAAGTGTACTTGCCTCCAAGACAATTTGAAAAGCGGGAGCGGCAAATTCTAAAAATCCTCAAAATTGTATACAAACACAAGATAAATATGCGGATTTTAAGGTGGATTGAATAAACTGGACACCTTACGTGCATGCCTCGAAGTGGCCTTCTGACACTGGCTCATTCAGCCCTCTGCTATTGCATCTCAAAATCGACGACACTTTAAACATGTTGGCATATATACAGAGCGTCCGTAAACTTTTAACCAGCTTTCGCCTGCGACTAGATCAGACTACGTGCTGGCACTGCCACAATATTAAAACTTGACCTATATAAAAATACCACGATTTCCAAGATAGGGGGCTCCAACAACGTGTTTTCTATTTTCTGGACAAAAAATTTATCCAATATCCAAAGAGTTTCCAAATTATAAACAGCTCAATAAAATTACTTGAATCTGTAGGTGAGGTCCGTTAGACGTAAAAATACGAATACATGTGACCCCGGGGCCACTAGATGGATTTTTGATATTTCAAGTGACATGCGCTGAAAATAATGTAGATTGAAAAATTTACCTAATTTACCTAATTTTCTGTGCTGTTTGATTTATAATCGTATATAATTTTTTTAAATTTAATTTTTTTATGTAAATGATAATTCAAGTTTAGGTATAATATACTATAATAAACTGAACAAAAGAGTTCAAGTCTCCTTACGTATCTTACGGCGTCGTTACTGAGATACATGGAGTTCAAGTTCATTTCTTTTAATTTATATATTTTTCATTTCTGCTAAATTACTTGAGCGACTTAGACGAAATTCTGTGACGGTAGACATTAAAGGACTTGATCTCTATTGGTTTTATCTGACTCAATTGTCCCAGGGGCTACGCTATAAGATTTTAACTGTGTATTTCTAGGCTTAACTAACCAAGCCATTGATTTCTTTATCAGTGCGCTCAAAGCACTTTCAGGAAAAAATATGTTCTGCCGCGTCTAAACAAGTAATTTAAGAGTAGCAAGTTCAAAAATACACCAAATAATAAATCTTTCCAATTTAAACATAAATGTGGGAATACACCTGGATCGCCCTAGATTTATTCATTTATCAGAAGACAGGAAAAACAAAAGTCCACGGTTTTCGTTTAAAGCATATTATTTACTATAGAGCTACTACTCGTACTAGTATGCATTACACTTTGACGTCTACTGAGGTGAACAGCTGATCAGCAAGTGACATTTTTGTGTTAGTCTGTATCGTTGGCAGTAATGAAAAGAGCTATCAGGTCCTACACAATGATTATGTAGCGTACCTACAAGAAACCGAAACAAGAAATGGCTGTCTGCCTGGCATTGACGGATCCGTCAGAAATATGTGTGGGGAATTTTGAAATATTATTAGATAATCAGCTGTCATTGTACCGTAATGGATACTCGTGAAAAAAAAGACTATAGTTGTTTTCATATGGATGAAAATGTGTGTATTCTATCCATTTTTTGAGTGAGTCCTGCTGGTTAAAGCTAGAGCAATCTATAAGCATTTTACACGTTCCAGTTTATTTCTGTGAGCAGCGGTATGTTGGACGATTAAAATTTGATAGTGGCGCCTCTAGGATGATACATTTGGATACAACCAACATAGAGCCCAGGGTCGATTCACAGATATTCATATACATCACTCGAGTAATTTAAGAGCAATAAAAAATCTGTAATGAATTTGAACAACCTGTATCTCAGCAAGGAAGCCATAAGGTACGTGAGTTGACATGACATTTTTTTTTCAGTTTAATGAAGTCTATCAAAGGCAAATAAACCGAATTTTTATAAAATTTGAACTTTTCAAAAACAAAAAGTGCACATAATTAATAGGTTGCGTTTTCAATATACAGTATTTTAATGTTTTTTTTTCTTAGATTCCTTTTTTTTCTCAACTACAAGTTTAATACCTAACTTTCACATGTCTAGTATGGAAAAATCATAATGCGACAAAGATCACAATGCGATTTTGCTGTTCAGGTGGGTACCCAAAAATGCTCCACATTTTGTTCAGGTTCTAAGGACTCTCCATCACCGTGATGCAGTAACGACGTCGCCAGAATCCAAAGAAAGAACGAACTTGCATACAAAAAAAAACGCTATAAGCAAGTTTTACTAGTTTTGCACCCGATTCATTAATGCCAAAGTTACAGATTAATACAATCAGGTCACTTATTGAAAACGTGATGGACACTTGTCAAATCGGCTTCATATTAGGAAACTGCTTTATAATTCAATAGGTTAGCTTGACTGTGACAGTTATGACACAGCAGCTGAAATCAACTGAATAAGTTGAAACTTCTTCTAAAAATATACTAAGTGACATATAAATCCGAACACCCGGTTTAAATGGTTTTATTTTAATAAAATTTTGTATAAGTACTTAATGAAGCATAATAAGTAAATGATAAAAATTTCAAAATGATTGCACTGCTTTAAAGCCCTTTGACCTTTAATAATGTGTGGATGCACCCTGATGTGCTACGCATTCTCCAACGCGCCTAGGCATGCTTCTGATCAGGTGGTCAATGTCCTCCTGTGGTATCTCATTCCAGGCAATCACCAACTCCTCTCGAAGTGCTTCTAGAGTCTGAGGAGGACGTTGCAAATTGAGCAATCTCCTACCCATCATATCCCACACGTGCTCAATTGGGGATAAGTCGGGAGATCTTGGTGGCCATGGTAACAATGTGACATCATTATGTTGAAAGAAGTCTATTGTGACTCTTGCAACATGTGGTCGGGCATTATCTTGTTGGAAAGTTGGATCTGCCAGGGTGTCAAGATAGGGTAAAAGATGGGGTTCTAGAACTTCGTGGATATAACGCTGCGCGTTCATGTTACCTCTGATGAAGATTAAAGGTTACCTGGAACCATAAGCTATAGCACCCCAAACCATAACTCCAACAGTGTGATGAACATGTCTTTCAACAAAAAACTGTGGATTCCTCCTTTCACCACGTCGCCTTATAACCCTGGCACGACCATCGTGCATGCCTAAACAAAATCGAGACTCGTCACTAAAGACAATACTGTTCCATTCCTGATCCCAGAGTGACCGTTGTCTGCACCACTCCTCAAGGCGATTACGTCGGTGTTCTCGAGTTAAAGGGAGGACCCAGTGTGGCCGGTATGAAAACAAGCCAAAACTTCTCATTCGTCGGTAAACACTTCGCATGCCAATAGGTCTTCCGTGTTCTGCAAACCATTCATTTGCAATGGATCTGGTAGTGGAGAAACGGTCCCTTAAGGCCAATAATCTTAGGCGGCGATCTTCACGGTCTGTTGTTCTACGGCGGCGTCCAGTGCCCCTTGCTCTTTGCGTACGGCCTTCTCGAAGCCATGCCTGACAACACCTAACCACAGTGTCTACACTTCTTTGCACTCTAACTGCAATTGCCCGAAAAGAAAGTCCAGCTTCCCGAAGTCCCACTATACGGCCCCTATCAAACTCACTAAGTTGACTAAATCGTACAGGTCTCCGTACTCTAGGCGTCGTAACCGATCGTAAAGGATGTCAAGAACCAAAATCCGCCAACGTTGATTCTTTACTGCGGCTGAAATATTCATTTTTAGAGCGTTAGTGAATTAAAGAAAGCAGTATAAAAACCGGAATGTCCAACTGATAAGGCTGAAAATTTTTTCACTTGTTATTTACAGTAAGATAAATACATTCACCAACTTTTATTAAAATAAAACCATTTAAACTGGGTGTTCGGATTTATATGTCACTTAGTATATGTAGAACTAGGAAGCTGTGTTTGAGTACATATTGTTCTTTTCCATAAAGTATCGCTCTGTTAATCTTAACACAACTGTCATAAAATGGAGCATGTGATTCAAAAACCCCATAATATAGTTTTCTGTTGAAATTGCTACGTCTAGCATAATCGGAACACAATGTGTATAAAGGCAGATCATGAAATCCGCCAGTTCAAGAGCCGCACATATTCCTCAATAACAGTCAGATAACATGTTCTATTATAATGAATTTAAAATGCACATACTCGTATACATTTTCAACTAATTTCCAAATTATACAAACATATAGCAAATACATGTTGGTATTCCTAATTTCAGAGGCGAATAAATCATAAAGCTGCGTTCCTACGGAGCGTGACTGCTAGCGCGTTCCTCGCATTCGTGAAATTGATCGAAATGTCCTAACTCAATAAAGCTTTTTCTTTCATTTTTTATCTGTCCACGTGACTCCCAACCTTTTTTGTGACATACCACTAAAATCTGAACTCAAAAGAGCACAACTACCAGTCAGAAACTCCCTGATGGATGATGGGCTTCATGGAAGAAACTAATCGTGATCGTATGAACAGCCCACGACCCTCGCTGATTCACTGAACCCCCACCCAAGACATGAGTCACGAAAGAGAGATAGAAAGCATGCCAAGCTGTCGTCTTTGTGCCTCGTGTGAAATTAGCTTTAGGGTAGTTAATTCATATGTAAAATACTAATGATTTCGTTACCATTACTGTTGCAGAACCTGAAACACGTTAATTTCTGGATGGAAATAAATAAACAAAGGCTTTTTGCATATGTCCAAATTGGCTTGTGATCTTTTTTCTGTCAACTATAGTGTTGCTCAATTTTTCGGTTAAGCTTATGATACCTCAAATAGAGACGCCTCTCCCCAAGTAATGTGCAGTAACATCTAATCACAGAATTCACATAGATGCATATCCCTATTTTTATCGGAAAACCTGACGGTGACATAAGGAATAAAAATTGTATCTGTGCAAGATTCCAAGGACTACTAATCATCATGTACTTACGTTATTGCCAAAGGTAACACATAATTTAAACAGAGTTTCTTCACAAATGAAAATGATAACACACACAAGAAATTTGATGACGCAGACGAATGAAGTAATGCCAAGAGAGTAAAACAACTGAGTTTGATTGAAATTTCGTGACAGGTACGAAGTTTTTCAATATACAGGATGACAAAATTATAATGTTTACCAATTTTTGGAGTTCCGATATCCTTTTATACTAAGTGACATATAAATCCGAACACCTAGTTTAAATGGTTTTATTTTAATAAAAGTTGGTGAATGTATTTATCTTACTGTAAATAACAAGTGAAAAAATTTTCAGCCTTATCAGTTGGACATTCCGGTTTTTATACTGCTTTTTTTTAATTCACTAACGCTCTAAAAATGAATATTTCAGCCGCAGT